CGGTTTTATGTTTTCAGTAATTGTCAAAACTATTAAGGCTCATATCTAGTGACTTTGACCTTTGGTGACCTTGTGACCTGAACAAAAGTTGTTGCCTCTTACGAGATCTATCCAATTATATCTCCACTTTTGTTGTGCATCGTTAACTTCCGGTTCTAGAGCCATTGGAAAATCGCGATTTTTAACTTTGAAGAGCTGTCACGTGACCTAATTAACATACGACAAAAATTCTTATATATTCTTTGAGTGCATGAAATTTCCTTTTGGTGATATATCACACTTGACATTTTGATCAAAATTGCGCGTTTTAAAAATTCAAAATTTTGTACTGACTTCTATAGTAACTGTGCGTAAATTCACGGTGTCTATAATCTACGGACAGTCACCGTTGCCTTAAAAAAACTTTTAACTATGAATATCTCATCACAGACAAATTGAAAATTTTGAAGTAGGCGTGGCACATCCGGTGTGCATTTACCGTTACCTGAAATATTTGCATTTGTTACGACTCGCATAGTTTTCAATTGTCACCCTAGAAATTTTGCATGAAAATAGATCAATACTTAGGACAATTTGTGATAAGATTACAGTTGTTTGCGTTCTTTACTTTAAAAAAGGGATATGTTTAACAATTTTAAAAATTTTCATTTTTGATCTTTAACATAAATGACCTTGACCTTTGCATGGTCAAAGGTCATTGACTTAGGATGACCATTCTTACTTTGATCTTTGATGTCTGATATATACTTCCGGTTTTGCAGACGTCTAAAAAGAGCAATTTTCGAAACTTCAAAGGCTCATTTTACTTTTATTTGACCTTCGTTGACCTTTTGACCTTAACAAAAGTTGTTGCCTATTAAGAGATATATCCGATAACATCTTCACTTTTGTTATTCATTGTTAACTTCCGGTTCTACAGCCAATTGAAAATTGCGATTTTTAAATTTAAAGAGCTCTGTCACGTGACCTAATTTACATAAGTCAAAATTTCTCTTATGTCCTTATTACACGCAATCTATTCTTTCAAATGATATATAACACTTGGTATTTTGATTAAAATTGCGCTTTTTAGAATTTGAAAATTTTGTATTGACTTCTATAGTAACTTTGCGTAATTTTAACGGTTTCTTTAATCCACCCACAGTCACCGTTGCCTTTTAAAACTTTTAAATACGAATATCTCATGATCTAATGATTGTAAACACTTGAAATTTTGAACATTATTTGATATTGTACACATTATTACAGACAACAAAAAGTGTATGCAGTGGGCGTGGCAAATCCAGGTTACTTTTACCTTTAACTTAAATATTTCAAATTGTTATAACTCGAAAAGTTTGCATTTGTCACCATCGAAATTTTGCATAAAAATAAATCACTATCTGAGACAATAAGTGATAGAGTTACATTTTGTTTAGGCCTTTTATTTTAAAAAAGGGAATAGGTTTTACAATTTATAAAATTTTCATATTTTGACCATTTACATGCATGACCTTGGTCTTTACATGGTCAAAGGTTATTGATCTCTGATGTCCATTCATACTTTTATCTTTGATGCCCGACATATATTTCCGCTTTTACAGGCATCCCAAGACAGCAATTTTCAACACTTTTAAGCCTTATATCTTTTTTATTTGACCTTTGTTGACCTCTTGACTGTAACACAAGTTATTGTACTTTACGAGACCTTTCCAAACATATTTTCTTTTTTTTTTTTTTGCAAATTGAACTTTTTCTTTACACCTTTTAGTACCGAATGGTATCAAATTCCTGCGTTTTTTCACTACCGAGCGTTTAACGGTTTAAACGATTTTTTTCTGGTAAGAAATTCCATTCTGACTTTAAAATGCAACGTGTTATCGATGTATCATGTTGGATGCGCACTGCTTTGGTACCGTTATAACTGTTCTAGTTTTCTTTTTGCGGAGCGTTCTTTGAAATCTAAAACTTGTAGTGGACAGAATTTTAATTTTCGGTTTTGCCCTTTTTGTACGACCGGATTATTTTTTTCAAAGTTTGAAGGCGTATATCTCATGACCTTGACCTTTGATGACCTTCATATTTACGGTGATGATAATTTGTGAACTGGTCTATCTGATGACCTTTTGATCTTTGGGGTCAGACACCTATTTCCGATTTAACAGGGGTCTAAATATGGACCATTTTGAGCTTTTAAAGAGCTACATCTCGGTCCCTAATAGAGATATGGAAATAATTCTTTCGATTTTGTAATGTACAGATTCTGAGCTTTCCATAGATATATAACATGCATGCCTTACATGCAAATTCAAAACTCCATTCACTTAACATGGGGCTATTATTAGATAAATCAGCTAATTAGATTAACCTGGCTGTCAACCCCAATAGAAATCAAAGTTTCAGTTGTTTTAAAGACACCCTCCCTTATATATTTATTTAATATGTTTTGTGTCCAGTTAAGGTACCAATATATAGTTCTAAGACTGTAAGTTGAGCTTACGGAAGCATATTACTTTCTTATTTTTCATCCAAATTTCACCAAACTTGGTATGTATGTGTATAATCAAATTCAAAAATTGAATTTGAGTAGTTCGCATGCGCATTAATAACTTTCTTATTTCCTATCCGATTTTCATCAAATTTGGCATGTATGTGTATAACCCAATTCTGAATTTGATGGAAATATTGAATTTTTGTTGTGCGCATGCGCATTGCCAACTTTCTTATTTCTTGTCCGAATTTCACCAAACTTGGTATGTATGTGTATAATCCTATTCTAAATTTGATGGAAATATTGAATTTTTGTTGTGCACATGCACATTGCCAACTTTCTTATTTCTTATCCGAATTTCACCAAACTTGGTATGTATGTGTATAACCCAATTCTTAATTTGAAGTAAATATTGAATTTTTGTTGTGCACATGCGCATTACCAACTTTCTTATTTCTTATCCGAATTTCACCAAACTTGGTATGTTTGTGTATAATCCAATTATAAATTCGATTGAAATATCGATTTTTTTTATGTGCGCATGGGCATTACCAAATTTCTTATTTTTTATCCGGGTTTCATCAAACTTGGTCTTTATTAATTGACAAATATTCTTTTAATCCTAGTCAATATACTTTTAAACTTTTGGATATTTGCATTTAGAGATGCAGAAAAGTATTTTCATCAATATAATTGCAATAGACCATCTTCGTATGTACCTGAATGTTGTAATACGCCCTGTATCAGTACTGTTATTAGAACAGTTCTAGTATTTTTTTTTTTTTGATTTTTCCACAGGTCACACAGCCTAGGCTTCGTCAGCTGCATCAACATTTCTACATGTGTAGACCTTCTGTAGTGGCAACATACAAAATGAATATAAATTGAAACATTTTTGCAAAACCGGAAGTGCCACAGGTCAACATGTGCAAAAAGTCGAAAATCGGCTCTTTTTTGCTTTTGCATCGATTGATCTGAAATTTTAAATGCAAAGAGACTTCACTAATGTAAATAATAGGGTACAGTCAAATTTTGTAAGTCATTTTCGCTTTTAAACAGGAAAGCGACTGAATTTCAAATATACTTCCGGTTGAATAACTTCCAGTGTGATTTATGTAGGTCAACAAAATTTAGCTGATCTTTAGCAAATAAAATTCTATGGCCGATTTTAAAATAAAATCCAGACCGAAAGTGATACTTCGGCCGCCATATGGAAAAAACTTACTTTCGTAAAACTCAAAATGGGGCCTCACGGTAAATGTTGATATGCTCAAATTTGATGTGTATGTATTCTGCAATCGAAAAAACGTTGCGAGCCGAATTTTGAATTTCCCTTTTGTTTTTTTTGCAACTTCTGGTTGAATTTTTTTCAAACTTGAAACGCTCATACAACATGACCTTGACCTTTGATGATCTTGACCTTTGCAGGGTCAAAGGTCATTGACCTTGGCTATCAGTTGCTACTTTGACATTTGACCTCCGACATGAACTTCTGGTTTTACAGCTGTCCGTAAAAAGCCAAATTCGCAATTTTGGACTGCTCTAGCACATGACCTAATTAACTTAGAGGGTTAATTTTTTTGGTTTCCTAATGTGCTTCTCATTAACTTTACATTGATATATAACAATCGTTTTTTTTAAAGCAAAATTGAAATTCGTGATTTTTTCAGATTTGAGTTTTTTTTTTTTTACAATATATGTGTCTCTTTGAGCTTGGTGTATGTATATCTTATGATCTATTTGATGTAGAAGCTTGAAATTTAAAATACAACTAGACATTATGAATAGGAATTCACCTATGACAAAAAAATTGATGTGGGCGTGGCACATCCGGGTTGAATTTCTAATTGTTTACATTTTGGAAAAGGGGCTAAATTCGTATAGGATACATTAGTTCAAAAAGGGACTTTGCACACAATTGCCTCCTTATTTCGGCCAGTTTGTGTTAATAGCTCAGTTGTTTCAGCTTTATAGTACCAAAAAAGGAACAGGTTTTAAAATTTCCATATTTTCAATTTTTTGATTTTGACCTTTATTGACTTTTGTTGACCTATATCTTTTGACCTGTATCAAGTAAAAGCTTTAAATTTTGAACACAATATAATATTCAGAATATCTATTAACTTTTGCCAAAAAAATGGCGTGGGCGAGGCACATCCGGGTTAAAGTTCTCATTATTGATATTTTTGGCCAGGGGCATAACTCGCAAACATTACATTTGTTTAAAATGAATCTTTGCATACAATTACATCATCCTTTGAGCCAATTTGTGTTAAAAGTTCAATAGTTTCAGCTTCATAGTTCTAAAAAAGGAGCAGGTTTTGGAAATTCACAATTTTCAATTTATGACTTTGACCTTTGTTGACCTTGACCTTTGTAGGATCAAACGTCACTGGCTATCTATTCATACTTTTATATTTGCTGTCCTATGTCCGCTTCCAGTTTTATAGCCGTGTACAGTTTGAAAATTTGATGACTTATATCTCTTGATCTTGAACTTTTTAGACCTTCTCCTTTACAAGATCAAAGGTCATTGACCTTGGCTATCTGATGATACTTTCATTTGTGAGGTCTGACGTCTATTTCCGGTATTAGAATCTTCTAAAAAATGAAAATTTCTCAACTTTAGACTGTCCTTGTACCTAACCTAATTGTTGTCGAAGGTTGATGTTTTTCAGGGTCTTTAGCAAATTGCTACATTCGCAAAGTCCCACTCTGTGCCACATGTGGCTCTAGTATGTTATTGACTTCAATGTCAGTCAATTCCCAATTAATAATTAATCAATTAACATCTACATTCAACGCTTCATACTCCTTTCATCACAACTAACTCCACCTTATATATATGAGGCAGATCTCTTCTTAAGTGCTTCACTTTACTTAATTCTTTATCAAATATTTTTATTCTTGATACTCACAGTACTATAAAGAGTACAAAATCCAAAGAAAATTAAGTCCATATTTTTTAAGATGACAAATGCTGTAAATAAAAGATTCCTTGCCAGGCAAGGAATCATATGCTGTTACTGGGAAACTATCATTTTCAAGTGGACGTACATAGATCTTTTGTGTGCACTAAACGCTATAAACTTATAAAACCTCATAAAAAAACTATTGAAGCTGTTGCTTAAAAACTGAATAACTATTTAAACAAATACTCTTACCTCCTGCAATTCCATATTCTAAAGGTGATGTCTTATTTTTGTATGTAGAAATTGATTGAGATAACAATCTGAAATTTATAATAAAATTAAGCTATACTCTAAACATAATATTAATGTAGAGTAATAATTAAATGAGATAATAATCTTAAATCAATAACAAATAGAAACAGGCATCCATAAAGAAGCACAGGATAAATGGATATACTATTTCTGACTACATTTACCCAAAATTCATTTTGTATACAGATAGTAAATAGATGTTTTATTTTGTTTCATATACCTTTCTTTTATAGCTAAAATGTAATATCCCCTTTCTTCATTTCAATAAAGATAGCTTGCCAGGCAAGGTAACATACACCCACTGGCAGCTGTCAGAAATAATAAAACAGTCTTTAGTGACTAAAGTAAGAATTTCCTCATATTGAAGAAATTTTATTAGTTTGAATTCAATGATATATATATTTACTGCCAGTTATTTATGCTGAGTAATTCCACCAACTTTTTTAAAATCAGTATCAATAACCCAAATACATCAAATTATCTCATCAATATACAAGATAACACCATGTTTCATTAAAATCAATTGAAAACTGTAGTCTCTGATGTGTTCACAAACAAATTTTGACGCGTTTTTCCTAAGTCATGGTTAATAACTCAAAAACCATTCATTAAAAGGTCATCAAATTCAAACTTGACCAACATCTCATCAATATAAATGATCACACCAAATTTAATTAACATCAAATAAAAACTGTAGCTCCATTGTGTTTACAAACAAATGTTGAAGCGATTTTCCTAAGTCAAGAGCAATAACTCAAAAACCATTAATTGAAAAATTATCAAATTCGAACTTGTCAAAGATTTCATCAGTTGGAAACTGTATGGTAGTCTCTATTGTGTTCACAAACAAATTTTGACGCGTTTGTCCTAGGTCAAGGGCAATAACTCAAAAACCGTTCATTGAAAGATCGTCAACAAATTCTACTTTGTCCAAGATCTCATCAATATAAATGATCACACCAAATTTCATTAAAATCAGTTGAAAACTCTAGTCTCTATTGTGTTCACAAACAAATGTTGACGCGTTTTTGTCTATGTCAAGGGCAATAAATCAAAAACCATTCATTGAAAGATCGTCAAATTCGAGCTCAACCAAGATCTAATCAATATAAATGATCACACCAAATTTCATCAAAATCAGTTGAAAACTGTAGTCTCTATTGTGTTCACAAACAAATTTTGGCGCGTTTTTTCTAAACCAAGGGCAATAACTCAAAAACCGTTCATCGTCAGATATGAATCAATATAAATGATCACACCAAATTCCATTAAAATCAGATAAAAACTGTAATCTCTATGGTGTTCACAAGAAATGTTGACAGACCAACTGACAGACAGGGACTACGGCAATATTTGCCACATTTCCATGTGGGCGTATAAAAACACACTATGTACACTTTTTTTTTTTTTCTTTGGCTATAAATTTCTACAATTTAGCAATAATGTAATATCACTACTTGCAGAGAAAAAATTCAAGATTCTAAATTTTCATCCAAAAATTCAAGATTCTAAATTTTCACCCAAAAATTCAACATTCTAAATTTTTACCCAAAAATTAATTATTAAAAGTATTGTTTTAAATAAAATCTACAGATAGTAGATAAGTTTTCTAGTTAGAAGTACACTATGACAAGGAATAAACTTGGATAAATCAGTTGTATTTACCAAATAGTATAAGGCCAAAAAGCCAGCTCAAAAAATTTTAGCTCTAAAAGCATTGAGTAATAGAAAAGTAAATTACTTACAAATACATAGCTGTAAATGATGAAATTTTAAAAGACCAATGCAGACCATTTTTCATTGAACTAAGTATCAAATGGTCATTGAACCTCCTCTGAATAATACAAAATAAAGTTGAAATCAATGAATATACTATTATCTCAATCCTGAACAAGGGCATCCTGTTCAAGTTATATTTTGAAACTTTCCTGAATTAATACGATATATCTGTATATGTAGACTTAAAACGCTGTGCAAATTGTAACTGATGCTTATTATGTCCATGTGGCTATTGATGACTATTACTTACTTATGGTTGACAAAGTATTAAATGACCTCAGCTTACCTTTGCTAAATATCTGGAACTATATAATGTACCTCTATTATTACGCTTAAAATCTTCAGATACACCCTGACCAAACTTGTATGAAAATATGATACAAGACAATACTGCTACTTCTCCTACAACTCTGGCAATAAATCTTACTTGAGAACTGTACTCATTCAAATGGCTGAAATAAAAAATAAATCTGATGCCAATATTAATAATTTACTGTGACATAGCCATTTCAGGTATATATCAAATGAAGAAATTTGTCCCCTGAAAAAGTCACCAGTAAAGGGTCTAAAATTATTCTGCTAGTACTTTTTTTCTTGATATATATTGATAATTGCTGGTGAACTAATACAATGATATGAGAGTTGTTTCTTATGTATCATTACTTTACAATATTATTTATATATCAGACAAACAAGTATACATCAACTACAAATTACTTACTAGAAGCTTATTTTACTAAAAAAAGGGGCAGATTCGATCAATCATACCTTAGTATCAGAAACGACAATAATTTGGCTAACCTAATCAGCAAAGTGTTCGCAGCTCACCGTCGAAATTTGAGCATTCAAATCCATTCGTGTCCAGAATTACCGGTATTTGAAAGTTAAAAGGTTTACTTACTTTCTAGAAAACATTTCAAGCAGTCTATCCCTCCCAGATTCATTTTGTAAGTATTTTTGGACTTCATTTTCTGATATAAATTGGCTTATGTCAACACCATTTATTACATTCGTTCTGCTGGGGTGTGATTTAATTTCTCCAGTGTTTATTGAAGACGAGGAGGGTGCACTAGCACTATAATCATTGACCTCTTTGTCATTGTTTTTACTGTTTGTGACTGTGGTGTCAGAGTTTGGTTCCTGAGCCTTTACTTTGGGAAAATGAAAAATATTTGTTAGTTTCAGCCCCAAAAGAAATTTTTTACACAATATCGTTCTAAAATGGCTATATTTTTCAACTTTTTCCTCATCGTTATTTGTTGTCATTTTGTTTGGAGTCACAATTTATAATAAAGTTTATTAGTATTACTTAAATCATCAGCCTAATTAATTTCCACATGTGATTCTACTTTCAATTTGTGTTCAAGGTTAAGTCACCGGAAGTTTAAAACATTCAGTCCTACCGAGGAATTTTGCCAGTGATTTATTAATGATATTAACAATAACAAAATACTTTCACTTTTCATGAATTAACCTCGTGTTTTCTTCCTGAAGGCATACGACCAGAGCCTATATAAGTTTATATAGGCTCTGATACGACTCTCCGTAGTGCTAATTTAGCCTCACGTCTAGAACCTCGAAGCATCACAATATTTTTATTGGCTTATAAAATGTTTATTGAGAATTGTATCATAGTTTCTATATATAACTCTATGTTCCAAGACCATTTGAGACAAAACATGATATGATGAGAAAGAATCATACATAGAGTTGTATAATAATATTATATTTCTTACTCTTACAATACTTTTGAACAAAAAGCTACTACACTGGCCACAGCTAACAATATATGCATATTTAACAGTAATTTATAGTTCCTCGAATAATTTAGTCATTATTTTGTATAAGCCTATTCATTTTTTAGTATTAATCTCTAGATAATTCAAATGAAGAAGCGTTTTAGACTTATTAATTATGAATGATATTATCCGAAAATTCAATTCAAGGAAATAACGATGTACACCGAATGATTTGGTATGTTCGTTTATTCATAGAAAGTAGGATGATTGTATCGATTTGAATGTTTAACAGGTTTGATAAAGCGACTGGGCGATAGTTTCTTGCAGACAAATTCGGAATTTTAGAAGGTAATAATATGGGCCTAAAGAAAGACTAAATCTGTCCAAGACCAATTAGGAATAAGACAGAATTCTGTCTGTGATAGGGTGTACAGGGTTTGTTTACTTCCTGTGGCACGGCACATCTTTCAGAACTTGATAGATGGACCTACTAATAAAGTCTCTAAAAAGTAGCCTAGTCAAATAAAAACCTACTCTAGTCAGTAGTGTATCTATTTTGTTGAGTAGTAGGTACTCTGAAACATCACATCTATTCTGATGGATTTTTTGACAGTTGTCGCTTGGAGTAAAGTCAGAACTTTTGGTTGCACATTTGTAAATGGCTGATTCGAGATCAGTTTCGTCATAAGAAAAACTTTGATGGAACGGATGTGTCTTAAATTTTGTAGGAAGAAAATGATGGTCTAACTACAAAAGTAATCTTATTTATATAATTTTCCAAATATATCTGGGATTTGCACATCCGTGTAAGCAAAGCTGGACTTCTATAAAAGTGAATGAAATGAGACTAGTAGGCTAGATTAGAAGCATTGAAGTCACTCCTTATAAATCATGTGATAATTAAAAAATGTGATATTAGATAATATTTGCTCATGCTTGCAAAGATATATCGGCCCTTACTTTGTGAACAAACATGCAGTTTTATCGGTTAATTTTTTTCATCTCAATGTTGGAATATTTGTGGAGCCAGGATTTTGTTTTATACCGAAAAATACGAGTAAACGTGCATTCGTAATACAGTCTTATACTGGTTAGATTTACAACTTAATTAATTGCAAGTCCTGTTTGTCCTAAAAATACTTGACATAAGTTTATGTTCAGAGTCTTAGTGTAATTTGTGGTATTTGAATCTAGTTGAATAACATTTACAATAACACTTGAAAGATCCCAATGCATTGTTGTCAGATTTTCACGTTTTCTGTTAATCAGTTTTACTTACCGATTCCGCAATTTAACAACAAGTTCAGTAAAATCAAGATCTTTCAAGTCAATGTTTAATATGATGTGTGTGTAATTAAATCATTGATTGATATTCATATAAAACACGATTATTTCAAAGGGTATGCTAGCAAGATACCCAAATATGAAATTGCTAGATACATTGTGCAATAGCTTGTTATGCTGATCATGTGTCTGAAGGTTAATGCACATTTGCGGAGACTCACATAAAGTATTAAATACCGTACTAATAACATGTTTTGACACAAATCACCTTTGAGTGACTGTTAAAAACATAAAGCTGATGCACTAATCTAACAAAGGGTATTGTTTTTAAAATGTGTTGGGTCTTATACCCCTTTTACACAAGGCCCCAATAAAGAGAGTCTGGCCCGGATCGGTGCCTGGCTCCGATCAAAACGTCTGTTTACAAATTAAAGTGCGCTCACTAATAAAAAAGGATTTCAAAAGGTCCACATTTGTAGATTTATAATGGCCGGCGATACGGAAGTTGTAAACCCTTCACATGCGCAGAAGAATTTTTAAACGGAGCCAGGCACGCATTCATTTTACACTAGTAAAATTGAAGTGGGCCAGGCACCAATCAGAGCGGTTAATTTGTTCATGTCATTACTTTTCATACATTAAGATTTATGTATATTGAATTTTTGTCACTTATTTGATTATAGATTGTTTGTTAATGGTAATGAGATGTCTTTAAGAATTCGACAGATATTGATATTTTGTTTAGGATGGCTAGCTTATGCCTCAACTTATCTTCTGCGCAAACCATTGGGTGTGGTAAGTGTAATATACATTTTTATATATGCAAATTTGTATCTATTAAGACTGCTTGTTAGCTGAGGCTTTAAATGGATATAATTTTTTATTTCTTGGTTTTAGTTCAGTGATTTTTAAGTTGTCTTAGCTTATAAAGTCAATTATGTTAAACTATTAAAGAAGTAAATTCATCTTATCTTTTTATTTATGTTCTTTAGTATAAAAAAAAATGTTATAAAAATTTTATTTGTTGGCAAATGCTCATTCTGATGAATTATATATCCCTGTAAATATATATATAGATTTTTTTGCTGATGAATTCTTAATGTGATTCGTCAGTGAGATTAGGCTTATCATGAAGCAAGTACAAGAAATTTATCTTCCGAATCTGAAATATATAAGAAGAATACTGGTTCCAACAGGAACATTAATAACCATGGAAATCATAATAAACATTTTCACTGGTGAAACTGAGGAATTGTCCTATATTAAATGAAAGGGAAAATGCGTATTTCATATAAAAAATATATATAATTTATTAAGTGAAAATAGTATACATGTATGATATTTTTGCGAGGAAACTCTTCAATTGTAAGTTATCATAAATAAGAAATATTAATTAAAGAAAATGTACTAAACCTATGGAACGGGGATGGGAGGTAATCTACCACGGACTAAGATATCATTTAGATTTTTATTACGGGTATAGGCGATAGCTAAATCATTTGTAAAGACTGTAGGAAATTTTTCCTGCAATTCTTTGTAAAGACTGATAATTATTCGGGGAACTTGAACAGCTGTGTTGTTGTATTGAATAACAAAAAGTATAATTTGGAAATCAACTTGGATGTTCATTCCTAAAGGATGGTTTGTAATTTGTTTATCCAATAATTTTCGCGAATGAGTCGAATTTTCTTTGTATCAATGCCAGGTTGTTCGTATATCTGTTCAATGGGAATAATTTTCAGGCCTGTTAATTGGTGATTGGGTTGATTGAAGTGTTTTGAAACGATATTATTAATTTTTTTTAAGTTAATGTCCGACTTACGATGGTTGAAACGGACCTTTAACGAATTTTTTGTCTCCCCAACGTATTGTTTGTCACATGTTGTGCAAGAAATGAGATAAATAATAGTTTTGCTGTTGCAGTTGAGTTTTTGATTTACTTGAAATATGCAATCTGTGCGTCTATTTCGGAAAGAATTTGTTGGTAAAATGAAGGGACAGGTTTGACAGCGAGGGTTGTAACAAGGACAAACTGAAGAATTTGGTATTGGCAGAAGAATCGAATTATTTTTAGCAGAGATTTCAGCAACTGTTGAGCTTTTAATACCTCTCAAGAACCTTCTAGAATATCCACGTTCGCACAATTTTTGGAAAACAATTGAACAAGCCTCCTCGAAGTCCTTCTTGCGCGTACAAATTCGGTGAAATCTCAAGATCTGCGTCTTTATAATGCAAGAAAAGGTATGTTTCGGATGAAAAGATGATTTGAATAAAAGTTGGTGAGTATCAGTGGGCTTAAAAAAAAATTTAATATCTAATTGATTGGTTTCATGAAAATTGGTATCTTTAAAAACTGTGGTGTCTAGAAAATCAATCTGTTTGTCGCTAATATTAGAAGTTAATTTTACAGAAGGGTGGTGGCTATTGAGAGTATCAAAATATTCCCAAAATTCATCTATTGTATGAGTCCAAATTAAGAAAATATCATCAAGAAATCTTAACATAAAAAATTGGTAGTTTGGGACAGAGGAGTGAAACTTCTCTTTCCCATTCTGCCATGAAAATGTTTGCATAAGAGGGCACAAAGCGTTTTCCCATGGCAGTTCCTGAAGCCCGAAGATAAATATTTTCATTGAAAGTCATTACATTTTAAACAAATTTCCAAAAGTTCAAGAATTTCTTTATCTGGTCTATCAGGATCGGGCTTTCGCTCGAATGCCTGCGTTACAGCGCGTAATCCAGAATCATTGTCAATTTTAGTGTACATGCTTTGAACGTCTAAAGAGACTAAAAGGGCATTTTCTGGGATCACAAGTTTCTTTACCTTTTCCACAAAATTGTTGGTGTCTTTGATATAGGCAGGATGTTTTGAGGCAAGAGGCAGTACAAAGTGATCAATGTATTCTGATACCCTGTACGATTCGCTTCCACAATTGGAAATTATTGGGCGACCTTTTGGGATTTTATTTGAAGAGAACCACTCAGTTTCCCGATTTTTGTGTATTTTTGGGAAAGATGTCTCTGATGTGGTTCTTTTTCTGGCTTTAGATAATCAAATTGTTTTTGCTTAATGTAGTCTTTCTCAAGTAAATTTAAATATTTGTTATTAATTTAGAGGTTTCTTTGTAGATCGGATCCTGCAAACAAGTGTAATATTCTGGATTGCTTAATTGAGATTCGGCTTCTTTAATAATCCTGCCTATTTAAGATCACACAACAACTGCCCTTGTCGCTTTTCTTGATAACAATATTCTTGTCATGTTTTAGAGCGTTCAAAGCAGTACGTTCTGCGTGGGAAAGGCTGTCTTTCTCGTTTACTATAGGCAAACGAGATATTTCATCATTCATTTCCTGAAAGGTATCCAAAATGCTTTTGTTTATACAACTATCCACGGGTGTGAATTTCGATTTTAATTAGGGTTATATTTGTATTTGATTAATCTCTTTATGTTTTTTGTTTTCAGATAAAAGCAGATTTGGAATCAGGATTAAGTATGTCAAAAACACAATTGGGTTGGTTAGATACAGCTTTGTTACTTCCATATGCTGTTATGCAGGTAAGAACACATAATACAGAAATGTATCAAGAAATCAGCTTCCAGATATGAAAGAAGATGCTTTAAATTCCAGTGAATCCCCTCTATAAAAGTTACCTAGTGCCCCTTGTTAATTGTGTTCATATGATACAAGTGTTTGCAAATTTGTATCTATAATGAATGCTCTGTTTGAATTTAATGAAAATCGTAAAAAAGGGTTTGGGTTGTTTATTTCAAATTTACTTGAAAGGCCACTTAGTTTTAACATGTTATTCCCTGCATATAAACAATTTAAAATTTATTGCATAAAATTTGTTCTAGATGCTCTTAGGACATATCGGAGATAGATTTGGAGCTAGGTATACCCTGGGAATATCATTATTATGTGCAGGTTTTTCAATGGTAAGTATTGAAATGTCGTTTTTTGAAAGACCAATTTTGATACAATTTTTAACATGGATGAAACAAAAGTGAAATACACCCTGCTTTTTTATTATGTACAGGTATCTGATAACCATTGATAATGCATAGCAATTTTTAACTGTTTTACTATATTCACCCTAACATAGATATTCATTATACTTTTAGATTACTTTTGGAACCTGGAGTTCATTTCCTGTGTTTAGTTTGCTGTTATTTATTAATGGAGCAGCCCAGGTAAGAATGAGCCTTTTCTAAATAGTTTCTAAGTAAGCAATTCACAATGAAGAATATAGTCCTAGGATGCCATTTACCAAGCTATACATGGGCCAACCTTGGATTTGTTTATAAGGGGAGATGATGTACATTACAGATTGTTTAAATATTTCAGTCACAATGCTGGCCAAATTGTACCAAAATTTTATTGTCATGGTTCTCTGATAGTATAAGAAATTCGGTATTTGGAATGTATGGTACTTGTGCATTTTCTGGTGGTATCATAGGAACAGTATCAGCTGTAAGTATTAATCTCATATAACCAATGAAAAGGAGTGTAAATACATTTTTGAATGTTAAACAAAAATTTAATCTAAAGAAAGGAACTTTTTTTTAGATTACCAACAGTTAATATCATCAGTTAAAAAAACATATCCCAATATTCACAACAATGTTCGGCATATTACTGGTCCACTACAATCAATCAACCGACAATTTTAATTCAAGTCTACAGGAAGCCGCCATATTTATAATCTGCTTCTATGTAATGATAAAATAGAACGTAAAAATGAAAAGTCTTGGGCTATAATTTTAATTGGGAAAAACATTATATAGCAGCTAAAATAGTCACTAATAATACCCAAATTATAACTTTTCAATTTAAAATTCTTCACAGAATACTGAATATAAAATCTTATCTCCTTAATTTAGGCTATGTCGAAAATAACTATTGTTCCTTTTGCTTAGAAGAGGAAGAAACATATGATCATTTATTTTTTCATTGTAAATATGTAAGAGTCTTGTCGGATTTTTTATCAGACTTATTAAAATAAATTTATAAAAATATCAACTTTACTGTGCAAAAATATAACTTTTAGCGATTTTAGTTCTGATTTAGTTTTAATTATCTCTCTATATACAAAATATTTTATCAATAAATGTAGAATGAACTCATACAAACCAACAACTAACGCCATGACCTCATATTTAAAAGGGCAAATAGCAACAGAAAAACACATGGCAACTTCAAATGACGAGTTAAAAATTTTTTTGGAAAAATGGAAAGACTTTGAATGTGTTATATTTTCAATCTCTGAATGACGGATACAACAAAGCAATAAACAACAAAACCCTCCCCTCAAAATACAAATGCTAATATGACTACTATAAAAACACCTAACTTGACACTTAGAATCTCCTTAAGCTTTCAACTTTTTCGCCAAGGAGATTCTATCTGTGAGTTATAGAGGACCTAGATGATTCTGTGCCATATATGACCCCTTGAAACTTGAAACATTTGGCATAATCAACAAACATCATTTAAACAGTTAAAGGTTTCATGCCATTATGGTACAGGGCGAACAATATATTTGAATTTATAATAAATGTATTCATGAACTAGGTCACATTCTGATTTTGTTTTTCATTTTGATAATAAAGGAAATTACTTTAAATATTATGTATAATAGAGGTAAATGTTTTTTTTGATGCAATTAAGACCTACCATGATTTGTCACCATTATCACACATATATATATCTATATATTCATGTTCATTGTTATATTGACATGTGGTTGTTGTATACTGTTGTTTGTATAATGATCTCCTCAAATGGATCTACATATCTGATCCTGATAAATAGCAGGCTATTAGTAAGAAAATGATATGTTTTTATATTATTATGTAATTTAGACACACGTTTAAGAACCTTTCAAACCATAGTTTGAAACAATTGGTATGCTTAAGTATATTGGCAGAGCTTGATATGAATCATTGAAGAAGTACAGGTATTTTATATTCTCTGATACCCTAGGGCTGTTCAGGGTTATTTATATAGTTTGATTGCCAGGAATATACTACTCTTTTTAGTTCAATTGTTTAATGTGTTCTTGTATTTTTTTTAGGTTTATTTTCAATCTACTTATGGTTGGAGATTTGTATTTATAGCCCCATCTATAATCGCAGTAAGTTAAACTTAAACTTATACAGATTTTATTTAATGAAAAGGGACGTGTTTATATTTGAGGTACCCTAGCCTATCTATTCTATTTTCAGATAGTTCTTGGTTTATTAGTTTTATTGTTTTATAAAGAGGCTTCAGAAGCACACATATCAATTCCTGGAAATGGTAGGTCATGTGCATGTTGTAACTAAAAATGATAATAACTTGGTCAAGAGTTTTAAACTAAAGAAATGGAAAAAACCACTGACAATTCAAACATGACCAGTATTTCTTTTCTGTTAGATTCTGCATAGAATTTCCATTTGCAGTTTGACTTTTTGTCAAAGCACAGAATGCAATGAAAAACAAAAAGTTGACAAACAGAAGATGGAGCCCTGCTGCATTTTCTTTTAAATATAAGACAGTTTGAACTGTCAGCTAATATAAACTAGTCTATTTTATCACTAAGTTTTTTGTTGTTCTTAGAATCATCTCGAAAGAGTATGCAAGGTAGTGGTGAAATTGATAAAACTGAGATGCCATCTATAATAGGCATGTGGAGAATGCCGTAAGTTGATTAGAATTTTTTGATAGTTTTGAGCTTTTCATATATCATCTACTATGAAATGAGAGTATTCATATAACTTGAATGATGTTAAATTACTCGAATACAAATACCAACATTATGGGTTATGTGGACAATTATAGCTGATTACTGCCTCATGGCATTGATTGTTTTGGAATTCTAGATCTATGAAAACCATAAAGAAATGCATTGTGTCCAAACCAGACCTCCATTCGTCATACTTTCTCAGGGCTGTGGTAAAACAAGTGAGATAAATTGCGTAGTCATAGCTAAATATTGTCCAATCAAAATTGGCCCTGAAATCTTTCTAGGAATTCTCAGCAAATCAAATCATATCACTCATATTAAGGGTTTGTTTGCGAATGTTAACAAAACGAAAGCGTGATTAAATGTCTTGATTGATAGGAACAATATAGAATGAGTGAGATTTTTGGTAATCAATTGAATCATATAGAAAATCAAAACTATACTTTGAAATATTGATTAGCTGATATTCAGGATATGATGAGAGGAATGTTGAATGTTTTTTATAGTATGGTAGCAGAAGTAGCTATTGCAGTATTTTGTGTAAAAGTTGTCAGATATTGTATGTATATGTGGTTACCACTTTATTTATTACGACAGGTAAATTATTATAATATCAGGTGTTATATCAGTGAATAGTTTAATTTCGTCAAGTAACTACACGTTGTCTCTTCAACACTTCCAAAATTATTTCATATTTCTAATGTGTTTCTGATAAACCTGGTATTAGAACCGAGGTTATTAATATTCATATTATCATTTAGTCAGTTTAAATAAATTGTTTTGTTTGATCATTCCATTATATTGGGATAATGTGAACCACAGTGACATGGTCCCATCTATTTAATCATATTGGTATAAATGACAGTGGTAACTAATGTAACTAAAATCTTCTCGAATTCACTAAAATCCTTACACACTTTTATCTAAATAACTTTGACATCCAGTATATTAAATATTTGGAATTTATTTTGCAAACATCATTTTTATACGCTCACATCTCTCTATGTGGACGTATATTGTCGGCACCCCTAAAAACTAGAGTTTTTGATGGAATCAGATGAAATTCGGTATGTGTATACATATTCATGAAAGGAAGATCAAGTTCGAATTGGAGCTATTTTCGACTGTTAGAAGCAGGGTTATTGCCCTTGCCCCAAAATCTTGAATATGCTATTACTCTCTTAGTTTTCAACCGATTTTGATGAAACTTAAAATGGATGTTATTGGTCCTGAATCGAAAGGTTTGAGAAAGTTTAGTTTACTTCTGATTAAATTTAAGGCTTTATCAAGATTTAGGCCTCTTACGTCAGTTTTAAGGAGTTATCGCCCTTTAACCTCTATACAGTAAGTGCTTCTATCAACATCATTTGCTTGTAAACACTCTGTCCGTCCGTTGATCCGTCAACATTTGCTTGTAAACGCTCTAAAAACTAGATTTTTTGATGGAATCAAATGAAATTCGGTATGTGTATACATATTCATAAAACGAAGATAAGTTTGAATTTGAGCTATTTTCGACCGTTAGAAGCAGAGTTATTGCCCTTGCCCCAAAATCTTGAATATGCTTTTGCTCTCTTAGTTTTTAACCGATTTTGATGAAACTTAAAATGGATGTTTCGTTTTTACCATCCGCATGGCGTGAAGGGCGTATATGGCTGTGGTCCACTATTTTTTTTAAGTTTGTTATGCTTTTTGGAAGCTGTTACAAAACTACTGTATGGATTTGAGTAAAATAAATGCTTAACTGTAGAGAAAAATATCTCCTACATATTCTAAAGGTTTTAACAAATAATATCGAGCCATTATAAAGCCATACACTTAAACGTGGTCAAACTAACAATTAGTACTCTCTTTTTAATTAACCCCTGTAAAACAAATTCAGTTTGATCAAGAAGATACATAGATATAAATAGCATACTTTAGAAATATAAGATCAGAACACTAATACATGAAATTAGAAACTTGCGATTTTGAAAATTAAAGGCTGCAGGGCATTTACAGCTAACTGACAGGCCATTGTGTGTTTTGATTTTTCTTTCAGTTGAACTATACTAAAACCCAGGCTGGTATATTTTCTACAGTATTTGATGTAGGAGGTGTAGCAGGGAGTGCTGCAATAGGTTTCTTTATAGATAGGTATGGTTTGAATTCATATACATAATTTCTATACATGCACCAATATGAGGAGATGTACCTTGTCAGTCCATTTACAAATTACTGTTAAATATACAATATCCAACAGTGCTGAATGAAATGAGCGTTCACGTACCCTATTAACAATTAACATCAAATAAATTTTAGCTTTTGGTTCATCAAATGATAACACCAACGAATGAATTTCTTTGTCAATATTGCTATATTCAATAATATCTCTTCCAGATAGTATACTTTGTAGTTTTGTTATGATTACATATTTGGTTTATTTACAGATTTTTTCCTGGTCGTTCAATAATGGGCAATGCATTATCAATATTTTTTTCAACAATATTTTTGATACTATTTAATTTAACATGTACATGGGGTATAGCCCTCAATTGTATCTTCATGTTTTTTACTGGTGCCTTTTGCTCTGGTCCTGATGTGTTACTGGGTAAGTTTAAATTGTACCTTTCCATGAATAATTGTTGTTTATTAAAATTTTAGATGCATAAAGATTTGTATCAGGGAGTTAAGTCACGCAAAATGACCAGATTTGCAATTTGATCAGATTTAAAAAGTTGTTTTCTCATTGAATGTTTATATGATTGTATATTTCAGGAGGTTCTATAGCAGCAGAAATTGGTGAATTAACAAATAAAAAAGCTGCTGTTGCTACTGTTGGTCTTATCAATGGCAAGAGAGATTTTCTATATAGCCCAAATTAAGCCATTAAATACTGTTCAACAATATTTGCAAATATATGGCTATTGAGATCATAAAACATGATATAAATGTTGTGTTGTATTTATATAGCAATATATCAAAATATGCATAGAATAATAAGAATTTTATGAGATCTGTGATAAAAGTATAACAACAGGAATAAAAGAGCCGATTTGGTATCAGGCTATTGTCTTGTTTTACAATTATAACATAACATTCGTTCTATATGGATAATACTTAATTTTATCATATTTTTTTAGGGATGCATATTTATGAATTTAATGGGTAGGGCAATCTTCACAGTAGATGCGCACAATTTGAAATGTGTTCTGAACAAAAATGATCATGACAATAGAATACATCAATAAGGTTAAATATTCTTTTTTTTTTTTATTATACAGGTTTCGGCAGTGTAGGTACTTTTATAGAGGGACCTGTAATAGGTTTTGTGGCAACACATTTTGGCTGGTCTGGAATGTTCTATTTTATGATTCTGTTGTGTTTTTGTGGTGCAGTAGTGACATACAGAGCTGGCAGAATACATGCTATTATGTTAGCTAAAACCCCAAATATTGTTCCCCAAGTGTGAAGACCTTGCATTTAGTGTGTTCTATTCATGATTTATCTATTATTATATTAAGTGTAGCATTATTTTGTTATGGTTCCTTAAAAAATTAAACTGGGTGCCAGCTTTTAAAATTCCAAAATTGTTAAAAAAATCATGCCTGAAAACTACAAAATATTCCAATTTCATAAAATTAAAAACCTTATAACCATGCTCAGACAATAAGAGTAAGAACTTTTACTTATTTTTTTTCCCAACACACACTGACTATTTATATCTGATCTTTAAATGAATCTGTTAGTATTTGTTCTTTCAAAGGTCTAACCTTTTGATAATTCTGTTAGTTGTTGTGTTCCTTCAAAAGTCTCCCCTGTAAATAAATCTGTTAGTTATTGTGTTTTTCAAACGTCTCACCTTTAAATGAATCGGTTAGTAATTGGTGTTCATTCAAAAGTCTTACAAGGGATTATAAAGAAGTTTTCTAAATATTTTTTGTGTTTTGGGGACATTGATAGCGTCAATTGCACTATTTCAATTTTCAACCGAATGCAATTCCACTAACAGTAAGCTTGACTTCACTAATCACGAAGTGCCTTATGTTTTATTTTCCGATTAGTGACATCATCAAAAACTTAATTTTACTGCAATTACAGGAACCACAGACATCAGATTGAAAACTGGCATGGTGCACATTCAGATATTTCATTGTAAACTTTTAAAACAACATTGCTTTTGAATTTATGCCGTTTTATTTTGACATGGTATAAAACAAGTATTTGCTCTAATTAATGATAATGGTGCTGTTGCTAGTCATGAGTGATGTCTGAGGTAGGGTTTAATTTAGATTGAAAAATTTGAATAGCAATTTATACACGAAATTTTTGGCTAATAAAATTCATTTTGGATTCCATTTCTTAAAAATTTAGTAGCAATTAAAACTGTTGCGGTAGTAAACTTCAAAGATACACTTCGATTTGATTCGCAGATTGTTGTAATGAATTTTAATCTTGGCTTATGTAAGGAAATATTGGAGCCAAAAGGGGTCATTTTGAATCGCAAACTGAGATGCGATAACACATAAATTGAACACTAAAGAGATGACTAGGATGTTCATGTATATTTATTGTGTAAACACTTGGGTATTTGATGTTGTTTGTTCTGTATCTTGAAATTTCAGGTTGTAAAATTAAGATTTGTAAGTTTTTTTTACTTGTATACATTCTTGTATAGTCATTGCATTCCTTTTTTTGAATGAAGTTCACATTTATATTCTAATGTCATAGGATGGGAATAAAGACAAGAATGATAAACATTAACATGCATTTAATATGCATTATTATCACACAAAGGTACTGTTCTCAGATTCATAACACGAGTTCATAAAAACGATATGAACTCGTACACAGGTTAATAAAGTATGCAAATTATGTCGTGTATCCATGGCCTTGTAAACATACATGCCATCCTTTGAAGTTGACAATTCAATAAAGATTGAAGGTAAAGGGCATGAAATTGCTTCAAGTAACATAACTTTACTACAATTTAGTTATCACATGAAAGATTCTTTTTTGTGACGCACAAGGGCATTTTGTAGAAAGGTATAAAAAGAGCTGACCTCACGTGAAGGCTTTTTATACGCCCACATAGAAATGTGGGCGTATATTGCTGTCGCCCCTGTCCGTCGGTCCGTTCACATTTCTTGTAGGCGCGATAGAGGCTACAGTTTTTATCCAATCTGAATGAAACTTGGTATGCATGTATATATTGATGAGATCTCGGTCAAGTTTGAAATTGGTAATTATCGGATGACGGGTTTCAGAGTTATTGCCCTTGACTTAGTAAAAACGCGTCAAATTTGGCTTGTAGGCGCACTAGAGACTACAGTTTTTATCTGATCCTGATGAAACTTTGTATGCATGTATATATTGATAAGATCTGAGTCAAGTTTGAAATTCGTAATTATCGGATGTATGGTTTCTGAGTTATTGTCCTTGACTTAGAAAAAAAGCGCTAAATTCGCCTCGTATGCACGTTAAAGGCTAAGATTTTTATTTGATCTTGATGAAACTTAGTATGCGGATGATTGGTTTCAGAGTTATTGCCCTTAGTAAAAACTTCAAATTTTGATTTTAGTCATGATAAAGGGTGCAGTTTTTATCTGATCTCAACGAAACTTGGTATGCATGTATATATTGATGAGACCTCAAGTTCAAAAATGGTAATAATTGGATGAATGGTTTTGGAGTTATGGCCCTTGAATGAATTCAGTGCGTCTAATTTGGCTTGGAGGCCTGATAGAGACTACATTTTTTTATGAAGTTGGTATAAGACTTGAGTAAAGCTTGAAATTAGTAACAATCGGATGATGGTTTCACAAGTCATATTAAACCACTACAGACTTAGTTACTTTGTTATCATTTCTGACAGCTGGTGGTGGGCGTATGTTACCTTGCCTGGCAAGCTATCTTTAGTGATGTGATAAATACAATCTTTCATTTATGCTGCTTGTATCCTAAGAAATTTATAAAATTCGTTGCCGGATTAAATATTTACCTTACCAATACTCGGGTAATATTAAATCTGGCAACTCATTTCATATGATATGCACTATTTAAGATCTGCTATGTATACATTAATATGTAATTGATATAAAAACTAGAGTGTTTGAATTTCTAAATTTCCTGAAAATCATGTTTTTTGTAAATAGATGTAACTCATTATAGAACAATAGTCATGGCTCATCGTAATACGCCCACCATTGGAATGGCAGCCAAGTCAGCTTGGCAATAAATGAAATATTCTAAGAGTAACATTTTCATACTGCTCAAGCTTTATTCAAAGACTTTTATTTAATTTTCAACTAGTTTCGGGTGATTCAACCAAGTTTCTTTAAAATCTATTGAGAATTGTGCCTTGAATGTGATTTCAAGAACAAGGGCAATAACTCATATTAAATATTTTATACGCCCACATGAATATTGTCGTTGCCCCTGTCCTTCGGGCCGTCCGTCAACATTTCTTGTGAGCACTATAGAGACTACAGTTTGTATCTGATTTTGATAAAACTTGGTGTGATGCTTTAGATTGATAAGATCTCGGTCAAGTTCGAATTTGACATATTTTCGATAAACGGTTTTTGAGATATTGCCCTTGACTTAGAACGCCTTGAAATTTGTTAAAAATAGTTCGTGAGCAGGGTTGAAGCTACAGTTTTCATCCGATTCTGATGAAACTTGGCATAATCATTGGAATTGATAAGATCTCGGACAAATTCTAACTTGACGCATTTTCGATGAATGGTTTTTGAGTTATTGCCCTTGAATTTGTTAAAACGCGTTTTTGTTAAAGAAAATAGTTCCTGAGAACAATAGAAGCCACAGTTTTCAACCGATTCTGATGAAACTTCGTGTGATCATTGAAATTGATAAGATCTCGGACAAGTTTTAACTAGACGCATTATCACTGAACGGTTTTTGAGTTACTGCCCTTGACTTTGTAAAAACGCGTCAAAATGTGTTTGTGAGCACTATAGAAGCTACAGTTTTCAACCAAATTTGATCAAACTTGTTATGATCATTGGAATTGATAAGATCTCGGACAAGTTCTAACTTAAGGCATTTTTATACGCCCACATGAATATGTGGTCGTATATTGTCGTCGCCCCTGTCCGTCGGTCCGTCCGTCCGTCGGTCCGTCCACATTTCTTGTGAGCACTATAGAGACTACAGTTTTTATTTGATTTTGATAAAACTTGGTGTGATGCTTTAGATTGATAAGATCTTGGACAAGTTCTAACTTAACGCATTTCTGATGAACGCTTTTTGAGTTATTGCCCTTGACTTTGTTAAAACGTGTTTAAATTTGTTAAAAATAGTTTGTGAGCAGGATTGACGCTACAGTTTTCAACCGATTCTGATGAAACTTGTTGTGATCATTGGAATTGATAAGATCTCGGACAAGTTCTAATTTGACGCATTTTCAATGAACGGTTTTTGAGTTATTGCCCTTGACTTTGTTAAAACGCGTCAAAATTTGTTAAAAATAGTTCGTGAGCAGGATTGACCCTACAGTTTTCAACCGATTCTGATGAAACTTGGTGTGATCATTGGAATTGATAAGATCTCGGACAAGTTCAAATTTGACGCATTTTCGATGAACGGTTTTTGAGTTATTGTCCTTGTCTTTGTAAAAACGCGTCAATATTTGTTAAAAATAGTTCGTGAGCAGGATTAAAGCTACAGTTTTCAACCGATTCTGATGGTTTTTGAGTTATTGCCCTTGACTTTGTTAAAATGCGTCGAAATTTGTTAAAAATAGTTTGTGAGCAGGATTGACGCTTCAGTTTTCAACCGATTCTGATGAAACTTGTTGTGATCATTGGAATTGATAAGATCTTGGACAAGTTCTAACTTGATGCATTTTTGATGAACGGTTTTCGAGTTATTGCCCTTGACTTTGTAAAAACGCGTCAAAAGTTGTTTTTTGCCCTTGATTAGAGCTGTGTGATTTAATTGTTTGTTGTATTTGGGTTATTGATATTGATTTTAAAAAAATTTGTGGAATTATTCAGCATAAATAATTTCTTCAATATGAAAAAATTCGTACTTTAGTCACTAAAGACTGTTTTATTACTTCTGACAGCTGCCAGTGGGCGTATGTTACCTTGCAACGCAAGCTATCTCCAATGAACGCTTTCGGAGTTATTGCCCTTGACTTTGCAAAACGCTTCAAAATTTGTTTGTGAGCACAATAGAAGCAACAGTTTCCAACCGATTTTGATGAAAATTGGTGTGATCAATGGAATTGATAAGATCTCGGACAAGTTCTAACTTGACGCATTTTCGATTAACGGTTTTTGTGTTATTGCCCTTGACTTATAAAAAACGTGTCAAAATTTGTTTGTGAGCACAATAGACGGTACAGTTTTCAACCGATTCTGATGAAACTTGTTGTGATCATTGGAATTGATAACATCTTGGACAAGTTCTAACTTGATGCATTTTTGATGAACGGTTTTCGAGTTATTGCCCTTGACTTTGTAAAAACGCGTCAAAAGTTGTTTTTTGCCCTTGATTAGAGCTGTGTGATTTAATTGTTTGTTGTATTTGGGTTATTGATATTGATTTTAAAAAAATTTGTGGAATTATTCAGCATAAATAATTTCTTCAATATGAAAAAATTCGTACTTTAGTCACTAAAGACTGTTTTATTACTTCTGACAGCTGCCAGTGGGCGTATGTTACCTTGCAACGCAAGCTATCTCCAATGAACGCTTTCGGAGTTATTGCCCTTGACTTTGCAAAACGCTTCAAAATTTGTTTGTGAGCACAATAGAAGCAATAGTTTCCAACCGATTTTGATGAAAATTGGTGTGATCAATGGAATTGATAAGATCTCGGACAGGTTCTAACTTGACGCATTTTCGATTAACGGTTTTTGTGTTATTGCCCTTGACTTATAAAAAACGTGTCAAAATTTGTTTGTGAGCACAATAGACGGTACAGTTTTCAACCAATTTTGATGAAACTTGGTGTGATTATTGGAATTGATAAGATCTCGGACAAGTTCTAACTTGAGATATTTTTGATTTTCATTAGGGGTCATCCTTGGGTGATTACGAATATTCACTTTAAGTTTCGTCAAAATCCACCAAAAAACCAGCTCTCTATATCGTGTCCACAGACCGACAGACCGACAGACAGGGGCGACGGCTATATACGTCCACATTAATGTGTGGGCATATAAAAGGTAAAATGATCTTTTATAACATTTTATTTAGTCTGTACATAAATGTATTATTTGCTGCCTAGAAAGTTAAACAGTAATTTGTACATAATTACCTAAAGGTATGTAAGTACATGTATGTATATGCAGTGCCATGACAGTCAGTAAGAATTAAACCTCAAATAATTCACATAAAAACTGATCCTTGTCTGTTAATCTATCTTCACTTACTTCCGCTCTTGTTTTTATGTATTTTATGTTAATTGGGTGAAAAGCGTCACAATTGCGTTAAGCGCATCAATAGGCTGATGACTATTTGAGGTCAAATTGTATTAGTACTTTGAGAGCACTAGGCATATCCAACCACGGTGAACCCAATCCATCGTGCATATTATTTTCAAACATACTTCAATCCATAACGATAAAAATAACGAGGCGTCTGGTGAGGAAGTAAAAGTTTTAGGCTCGTAGCTCTCTAGCTTTATATTTCTGTATCCGTGGCCGTCGAATATTTTAGACATTTTTCTGTAATCATCTTGGTTAGGACCACACCGTTTATAATATGCTATTTTACCTCGACAAAAGTTATGAAAATATAACATTCCCTGCAGCTTATGCCAAACATGTGACGTGTAATGTTTTCGAAGAAGTCGATCTGCAAAATGATTACAGATCTGAGTGTCTACCAATTTCTTTAAAGGCCTAGAACTCCAATTGGCTCAAGTAGGTGATTAACATTATTTGGTAGATAATATTTGCTGAATGAAGCCTCTTGACCCCTACAATCGCTCAAGCTGCAGTAAGCTGCAAGGTTACGTTGTTTAGTTGTGCATCATCAACTATCGGGTCGTTCAACTTTTATTGGATTTCTCATATACATAACAAAGAGGTAGAAATAATGATAGTTTATCGTACAAGAAATAACAACAATTTATTATTTACAAATCACAACCATGTATAGAGGACTTTAATTTAGTTGACACCCAAATTAGAATCATATTATGCCCCTGTTCTCTTCGAGAACGTGGGTTTCCTATTGACATGCAATGTAATTTGGAATTTTTAAAGAAATTGTTTCAACTAACAACATTTTAATCTTTTTTTAAACGCACACATATCTTTATAAGTTCATTTCTCTTGGTAAACCAGTGTTTTTACATAGTTTCAATGTAAATTGTACTCTTCCTGCACCACAGTTTTAGGGCTGTTAATAACATTTACATCCCCTCAATGTACGGGTTTAACACACAAGCATCTTGGTATTGAAACATTTCAGTCTACCGCATGTTTTTCAAACTTGGACATCTGCTCCTCAGATCTACGTGCACCATCCCAATCTCCAACACTCTCCTGACAGTACCTTAAATAATCCCAAAATTGGCTCATGGTTGGTTGTAATTCACATCCCTGGAAAAAATGAAATATTCTTTTCAATTCTTTAACAAGGAATATGTGTCAAAAAGATGAGACGCAGTATGATTGTCATCAAGCTTTTGTATTTCCATTGTCGAATCAAGTGTCAAATATTAAATTATACCAAGATAGACGCTTCCGTTACCTTTTGAAAAATAGCAATGGCCTCTCTAAATCGATTTTCTTTTATCAAAAATGTCCCATATTCTGCATAAATATCCCACATATTTGGATTCAAATTAATAACATGGCGAAAAACTTCCTCAGCTGTTCTTTTTTCATTAAGCTATTAAAATTAAAACAAAGAAGATATAAAAAAAAATGTTGTCTTTTGCCATTTGCATGTTGCACGACTAACCGAACGGTTTACCTCCGATTGGCAAGATATTTTAAATACAGAGGAATCTCTTCAAAACATATTTTATTTGATCCATTTTTATACGCCCACATGGAAATATGGACGTATAATTTGGTGTGATCATTTATATTGATGACATCTTGGTCAAGTTCGAATTTGACGATCTTTCGATGAACTGTTTTTGAGTTATTGCCCTTGAATTGGGAAAAACGCATCACAATTTGTTTGTGAACACAATAGAGACTAAAGTTTTTAACTGATTTTTATACGCCCACATGAAAACGTTATTTAAAATCAGAAAGATTGAAAAATAATTTTTATGAGTTATTGTCCTTGTTCTAGCAGGTTCGATTATTGACAGATTTTGACGAAACTCGGTGTGAGTGTTTGTTGTCACCTAGGGATGAACCCTATTAAAAATCAGAAAAATCGAAAAATATTTACTATGAGTTATTGCCCTTGTTCTGGAAAACGTGTTCAATTATTTAGCTCGTAAACATTCTAGAAGGCGCATTTCTTGACCGATTTTGATGAAAATTAGTTCGTGAAAGTTCGTAATCACTCAAGGATGAACCCTATTGAAAATCAGAAGAATCTAAAAATATTAAAAATGAGTTATTGCTCTTGTTCTTCAAAACTCGTTAAATTTTTACCTCATAAACACTCTAGAAGGCACAATTCTTGACGGACTTTGACGAAACTTGGTGAAATTGTTAATTATCACCCATGGATAAACCTTGTCGAAAATCAAAAAAATCGAATAATGTTTCATAGGAGTGTTTGACCTCGTTCTTGAAAATGCTTTCAAATTTAGCTCTTTAAACACCAAAAGGCATGATCCTTGCCGGATTTTGACAAAACTTGGTTTTATTATACATACGCGCTGAAGGTTGAATATTTGCCTTCTAGAGTTTCACAAGCTAAAAATTGAACACGTTTTCAAGAACAAGGGCAATAACTCATACTCAATATTATTCAGAATCGACCTAAAGAGTTCAAAAGAAGTGTATGACTGAAGGTTGAATATTTCATACTGGTAATTGTTACTGTACTGCTAAATATTTTTATTCAAAAAATTAAAGCTGCCAGTTGGCGATCTTTGAATATTTACTTTGCAAATGGGCAAACGGGGATTTCGTTTTTAGAGCAATGGGGAACTCATGGAGTTTCACAAAAAAAATTGTGAAAACTAGTAAAATTAATTTCCCGATCTAGTTTACACACACCAACCGGCAGATTTGTTTAAATAATAATACTTGCCAGAAGGGTAACTTTCACCATTGTCAAAGGCAAAATCCGTTTATCGAAACAACGCCCAACGTCAAAAGGGTTACTAACCATAATAAAAAAAAAATTACTTTCTAGTTTATCACCAACAAGGGTTAGAGGATGGGGTAAGCTAAAGTTATCTCTTTAATCTATTTACCTGAGATTTAATTCTTGCCATATTTAAGAAAGCTACCAGAAAGAAAGAATCCAACTCTATGGCTTTCTTGTAATAATATTCCGATGATTTCAAATCATTCAATTCTTCATAGACCTGACCAAGTTTTAAATATACCTCTCCATTTTCTGAAAAGAACATTATAATTTAATTCCACAAACGTTTATACAAAATAAACAGTATTAGCTACTTTTGAGTACAAGACTACCCCATCAAATAAGATTGTATTGACATTATCATTTTGTGTAGCATGTAACAGCATTCCATTTTTTACCATTTTCATTTTCATGTCATTTGATTTCTCAAATATAATTCACTATAAACTATTTTTTTTTAATCTAATTATAAACAAAATGGCCAAATAAATTCCAATCAATGCGGATATCCGTTATATATTATATATTTAAGTAAATTTTTAACAACATCTTTCTTAATAAATTTAACGTATTCGATCAACAATCAAGGTGAATTCAAACAATATGATTAATATTGTTTAATGTTAATGAAAACTATAAAAATAATACAGGCCCACAATTGTTAAAGATTCATATCTCCATATGGTTTAAATGTTTCTTTAATATAAAATACTTTCATTTCAACTCTGCTTTTAATAAACTAAAAAAAGAATGAATATAAACAGGAAGTTGTGAGTTTTTTATGATCTTTCAATTCATAAATCGCGTACATTATAATATTTCACATGTGTGTTATTATATTATACTGGTCTAAACAAATTTAAATTAAATTACAATTTTCCTAGGCTGGTTTATATACATCGAGTCTTATGTTTTTGTGTTTACCTCGCGAAATTTTGCAGCTTCACAATGTACACACGTACATGTAGCTATAATTATCCTAGACTCTTTCTGTGGTCGAAGCTAAATAAATATGAAAATAGACTCTCACAATTGCTCATTATGTTAAGTTCTGGTTAAGACATGGCAATATATTAGGTGGTAACAATGACGGCAATTCTTTCAAAATTTATATTACCTGGTAACAGTGACTGCAATTCGTTCAAAATCGTTAGTCTTTCAAGGTGTTCACCATGTCTTTCAAATTCATTATCTAGAAAAAAAAGAAGAGTTAATTTGAATTTTGAATATTCAATCATTTTCATCATTATATCAAGAAAATAAAGACTAAAAGTAATAAACAAATCTAATTTCGAAAAATTAATTCTAAAATACTCACCTTTATAAAACAGAGTCTCCTCTAATGATGTGGCTTGTATTTTCTGTACTCCGACCGCTATGGTGTCTCCGAGGTTAATAGTGGAATGGTACATACTTTCTGGCTAAAACATAATCATTCAAGTTTGTTACAATTTATATTTTGAATTAGGTTCGAAATTCAAAAACTATACTCTCTTCATATTTGTGAAAACTAAAGTTGTCCAGGTGTAGTCGAAGGGAATATTGATTTGTTATGTTTAGCTATGTAATGAAATTGATCGATTCACTGTTACATGACTGTTTGTATATCAACATAAAACTGTGTTCTACAGACAAAAACTTACCAAATACATCATTTCTCCTTCGTTCTGAATGCATTCAATAGGTTTATCCTCTTCTGACAATGCAGGATAAATAGAGAAATACCAGTCTAATTGAGAATAGCCTGGATACATTCCTAAAATACACGATACAAGCAATGGATACTTAGAATGATCCCAGTTTTAAAGAGGATACAGTCTTAAAATACACGCTACATGTAACTGGTAATTAGAATGATCACAGTTTTATAGAGGAAGAAGATACATGGATACTTTCATAAAATACATGTGACAGATAATTGAAATGATCCCAGTTTTATAGAGAATACATTCCTAAAATACACGAGGAAAGCAACGGAAAATTAGAACGGTGCCAGTTTTGTACAGGAAAGGTTCCTAAAATACACGATAAAAGCAACGTAAAAGGAGAATGATGCCAGTTTTAGAGAGGATACATCCCTAAAATACACGATATGTGTAACGGATAATAAAAAAGATGCCAGTCTTCTAAAGAATACATGAATACTTTCCTAAAATACATGTGCCGGATAATTGGAATCATACAAGCAACTGAAAGTTAGAATGATGTAATTTTTTAAGAGAATGCCATATCACCATTACTCATAAATAAATACTCTAATATCAGACTAATAACAAGCTGGACATAAATATATTTTACCTCCTGGTGGCATCTTTGATTTCGGATACAAAAACCATCTTTTTTTACCAAACACTATGGCATTCCACCCTTCTGCATGTTTATGGAAACTAACACCACTCTTTGAAGTTCCAAGAAAAAACATACTGTCATCAATTCCTTGCTGAAAAATTAACACATCCGATGCACATGTACTGAATAACTTTCTCATTTCCACATTTATTTACCCAATGTGTTTATGTTGCTATAAGTAATGTTATTGGGTACTTACAGTCATATTTAAGAAGCTCGGGGGTTTAATGTACAGTTTAGAACCTTTGTAAAACATTCTGTCAAATACATATCTGAAATAGTAAGACAGTTATTTTTATACAAGAAAGAAGAAATTTCGTGTCCACATATTTGAAGATTGTGACACGATAACAAACAGTAACAACCCTATTTATCTCAAGAGGAGAACTATATCAGTTTATTTTTTTGTGCATTGTATTCTGAAATCATTGTAACAAAGTTTTCACATATGACTGAAAGCATCGATGTCCATAGCTACAGAGTTAGAGAACTGGATCTTGCACATCGTCAGTTCCCCGTAGTACAACAGGGAATCTAGATTTTGTTGATAATCTATAACATTCCAAATCGTTCATCTTGTTATATATTACTAAAATATAAATAAACTTTACTGACTTACAACTCTGGGTTGGAATGCGAGTCGTTGTGTGCCATAAGATTGTTGATGTAATATTCTAGGGAGGTTCCAATATCACCATTCCCACCATGTCGAACTATTTCCCTGGATTCACCAGAATAAAGTGTATGAGATCCATATTCTGTTATTAAGCTAGACGGAAGCCATTTTGAAACATTGGTCCAATCAGATGCACCATTTCTAAATCTGATTATCAATGGATGTTTCTGTCGATATTTCAAATTGAATTCCGATTCTGTAATCTCATCCACGTAAATTCTATCAATTGAGCAAATGTCTGAAGTATATTTGTTTAAAGTTTCAGTATCTGGTTCCCTCCAATGCCGTTCGAAAAGATTGTTATGGTAATTATTTTCTTTAAGATAGGTAATTCCTACATCATTAAAAATGACTAAAGGTCCAATCACTGCTAATATAACAAGAACCAAGGCTTTAAGTTTATTAACACGTGACAATGTAAACGGTGGTGTCAGTATGTCGGCTTTACCTTTCACACACTTAGATGATGTATAGATCTCACTGTGGCTATTATTGGTGTTCTTGACACACGTTGTCATTCCAACTGGACTGAAATGAAAATATTACTTATATTTATGAAAAGAAAGACGAGAATGAATGAAAAACATATGAAATAATTGCCCAATCTAAGTTGATCATAACATGATTGAAATTTCATTAATTTAGTTAAGCTTGTAACTAACGTGATATAAGTCACTATGAAATTCTTTTTGCAAGATTGTTATTTAAAGTAAATGTAAGTGCCACATTGCTGATCTTAACAGTGGTTACATTAAATTGTAAAAATGGAAACATTGTTATTATAATTGCATAAGGGAAACATATATTTAATATACATACACGTTTGTTAGCATATGAATTTCAAATACAAACAACATGACTACCCATTACTATCGAAAAAAATATTATCGTATAATCATGTGTGTTCAATGTATAGTTTGCATAATTTCAATAGTTCACCCTACTGTTTACCTTCTAGAATGGGCACAACTTCATGTAGCAATAGAAATGGCTGCAGCTATGCAGCAGCGTTCAGAATCGTTCCACATCCTGACTTAGCATCATCAGACTCAAAACTGATGACTTTATAGATATATATATAGTGAGTCCTCGTGTATTAAAACGCATTAAAATGGAACCAAAATGAATATTCTGCGTATCTAGAAGAATCACCCGTGATTACAAGATTAGAGACAAACGATCGTTTGATCTTTTTCATAGATATACTGCAAAAAGCGTAGGTGTGAGATTTATTTGAAACCAAATATACCTAAACGTTTACTTACAGGTCTCGCATATCATAGTCCACACACAAAAATTGAAAGCTAGATAAAGTTGAAATTCATAGTAATTGCCTTTAATTAATGTCAATAGTCAACATCACTTACGTATAAAAGTGGAGGAGTGTTACTTTATTGAACATAATTTCTAACCAATTCTAACAATACATTGGAGGGGGCACTGAAAAGTTGTGAGTTTTTCGGAGAAAACGATATTACTATTATGATCAAGTAGACCAAGCTACATCTATATTCAAATGAATATGTTTCTATTGAGTAATCAGTGCCTCATCGGTTTACTTTAAGAGAGGGATATTAACATTTATGCTCACACATTATTCAAAACAGATCTATATCTTTATCTATTATCACCTTAAAAATGGAAACTTTTAAGTCAACCCTCATGTTTGACACTCTTACTTCTCTTATTAAACATTTAAAGTACACACAATGACAGATAAGTATTTACATTTAACCTGGTAAATATAGACTTTTTGAGGGGAAATGAGTGTATTTTGCAAGTCTAATTCTATAGAAGAAAACATGTCGAGATTAAACTAAAGACCACACAGACTAACAATATTTTCCTAGGTTAAAAAACGATATTATTGTCCTGAAAGCTGGTTTTACGAAACTTGAGAAATTCTAGACAATGCTTGTTACATTCCATACCGAGAAATTTTGTCTTGAATGCAATACATTTTTTATCGTTACACATGTTCTTTGATTTTCCAACTTCTTTTTTTAAGAATAATTTCATACGAATTTCTTCGTGGCTTGTTACATACAATTACACAAATTTGACAGAAAAATGAAGGTTTGAGAGATTCTCGTAAATCGAAGTAATGACCTTATCCCATTCCGTCCAGAACAAATACAAAAAATATGTAAATTCTTTCGTCAGGTACTACATTATTCAACAGGTTATTAATCTTTCGATTTTTCGATATCGATGAAAATATATATACGCGTAAATAATTTTATCTGCTCAGTAAAGCAATTTATTTACCATATAATTTGCAGTAGACGTTGCATTTTCTCATTGAGCTATGACGCAAATGTGGACATATTAAGGCAAAACTTTGATGTCAAATTTCGATAGCCAAACTCACCAGAGACAGCTTGTGTAATTATAACAATACGAACAAGTTTCTGTCAAAACAAGAACATACACCTAATATACAGAACGACAAAAGTATCTTTAATGTATGTTAATACACCAAATTCACGAGGTGACAAATGATTATCTGTCCACTAATGTTTTGAAGAAAATGATTGTAATTTGATCTTAGTGTTGTAATTACAACATGACATCGATCAGATGAGAAAGATTCTCCATTTTCGAAATTAATACAGCAGTAAATACCCCCAGATTATCGACCATTGTTAATATGAACCTGAAGTAGGTTTAATGTTATACAAATAGAGTTCAGTTCCCACACAGTCAATGTGACGTTGGACCGAAAAATTAACATCTTGTAAAAAATTCTTAATAATATGAGATACTATGGCAAGACAAAAACAAGCATTGAAGATACGATATGTGTTGTATGCTAATTTCTGACATTGTCCCTGCTGGGCAGGCATATTGGGTTTTACTGAAAACCATTAATCTGGTCAAAAATGATATATAGACAATCTTAAAAATAACCCAAATTAGATACTTACTTATTCTGAACGGTCGAACTGTTCTGAGTTTTAGATTCTATTGTCTGGTGTTTAGGACTTGTAGATTTGTAGAATCCATATTTTCTCTTCATTTTACATTCCATACACATAACATAACCCTTATGCAACGTCAAATCTTGGCCGTTTTTTAGCTTAACACGACAGTTGTTACATATTTTGGTTTCCTTACCTAAATGTCTGTGTCGAATAATTCTCGAGACAGGCATTGTTCTACACTATTATGAAATCAGTTTAACAGTTAATGGAAGAAAATTGATTTTACGTGTCGTCTACAATACGCTATGATAAGATCAAATATTGACCAATCTTTAAGCCTAATGTAAACACATCTGAAGTCAGTTTTAAGGAGGACACACAATCACTGTCCGTTTTTGTTTCATTTTGTGATTATCGTTGTTATTGTTATTTGAACAACAAAAGAAAAGAAAATGCAAATAAAAATTTTACAATAACGCTGAGGGACGTCTGGTCGTTCATTGTTTTATTTTAACTGTTCTTTTCCACTTTTAGTAGACACAATTATCAAATAATTCAGTCCTTTACTAACTATATTAATCTTGTCCATGTAGTAAAGTATTTTTTTTTTATCAAAAATAGCTTGCATATAAATACTTTTATAACACGCTAATACAGATTCATCGCAATTAACACAAGTCATTTAACCTGCTGCGACAATCACAAAGTTTATAGATTGAAGTGTTATATCCCGATATTACATACTTATCGAAATAAACTAAGACTTATTGTGAATTTTGGTAAAAATGTGATAAAATAGCTTATACATAGCTATAATTAGCTTTAACAATTATAACTAGCAATAAGTACAAAGGCTAAAAAATCCAATTACATTCTTACGATTGCATAAACACAAAACCATTGTGTAAAAATGTGTTGAGAGTTCACTTTCGCATTGTTTTGAGCACATGTACCGAAAATATTCCATGCTGTACATAAAATACATACTAGAATAAGGCAAAATTCCTCCCTCAATCAACAGTCGTTTTTTTAATCAATTATATTGTGATGTGACAAGTACACCACACCCAGTCTTCAGATAATGAGACTAGACTTAAGACAATATGACATGAAAATACTAACAGAGCGATACAGATTATTTCACATGACCTTGTTTTTATTAGTAATCATCATGAAATGCATCCATATATCAATAATCGTTTCCACTAGGCTTAATAGAAACTGTTGAAACTGAGGTAAGAATAGATTTTATATTTTTATATCAAATTAGATGTAAATCGTCATCAGAAAGAGAATCACTTAACTAACAAAAAAAAAATTTTTTTTGCTTTATTGGACAGTTGAAGACCTTATCTTATAAAAGAGTGGAAAAATATAAAGATACTTACGAAACAACGTTTAAAAACTTTTCAGTTAAATTGTCACTCCTCTTGAAGCCAAATTATGATTAAAAAT